AATTTGAAAAATATTCACTTTTGCGCATTTTAATTATGAAGTTGCAACAATGATTTCTGCCCCAATTCTTTCGGAAAGCATTCTGAGACTTTTGATTTCTATAGAAAAGTAGTATATAGTATGGTCTATCCAATGGTGAAAAGTAACTGACGATAACTTAATTCATTTTAGTAGAATTTGAAAAATATTCACGTTTGCGCATTTTAATTATGAAGTTGCAACAATGATTTCTGCCCCAATTCTTTCAGAAAGCATTCTCAGAGTTCTGATTTCTATAGAAAGACAGTATTCAGTATGCTCTATCTAATGGTGAAAAGTAACTGACGATAACTTCATGCATTTTGGTACAATTTAAAATATATTCACTTTTGCGCATCTTAATTATAAAGTTGCAATAATGATTTCTGCCCCAATTCTGTCAGAAAGAATTTTGAGAGTTCTGATTTCTATAGAAAGACAGTATTTATACAAAATGTACTGTTCCAACGTGATTTAACATCATAACATAAGTTTCGATTTTTTTAAAATTTTTTTCGTTCAGCATCAAAACATAATGTAATAATTGTTGATCGTTTAATCATCGACGTTAAACCACGACATTTTTTCAATACAAATAAAATCATTCTTTGTTCACGAACAGTATCATAATCTGATTGAATAACATCTGTTGACCTATCATCCACGAATTCTTCATTACTGTTATCAAATAATGATTGTTCTTCGTCGTTCGAATCAAATATTTCCGATGATTCATCACCATCATTTGATTCATCACCAGCAATATTCATAATGATTCCATCATGTTCACTGGGTTCACCAATATCATCATTATTGTCTATTTGTTCAATATTTGTTACCTTGTGTTCTGAATCATTCAGTCTGTTATTCAAATTATCTAAACAAAAGAAAAAAATGACTTTAAAAATAGAAAAATTATAAGTATTTGTATTCGTGAGACATTTCATCAATATTATATATATATACAAATTGAAAGGCTGAATAATCACCAAGTCTCTCTGTGATAGCTGCTAAAATGAAGCAATGGAGGACCTGCAAATCGAATACTAATTGGTTTGATTATTATTTATAGTATATTCCTAGAAAGTAGTCAATTGTAATGAAATATCAGAATTTTTATTTGCTGAAATAAAGCAGTCAAAAAA